CAACAGAAAAGAACTTTTCCTTCCTACTTTTTTTCTTTAACTGTTAAACCGACCTTGTTGCTCAACATCAGTATTTGGCCAATAGGTCAAATAATCTTTCAAGAGTTTTATTTCAATCCTGAAAGTATGTGACAAACAACTAGTCATATATTGGTCCAATATTCTCTTGGATTGCTAGGAAATTTGGGAAAGACTCAGTGGATTCCAAGGCTGGAAACACAGTTAACGGAAGAATACTGTGAATCTTGTTGAGACGTTGCTAAACTACACATTTTACTTTACATCCCAGTTTTCAAGTTCCAGGACAGTGGTTTCTCTGGAGACAGTGAAACAGGGGTTTCTCTGGGCATGTCATGCTTTGATATCGCATTAAGTTCAGAGGAAAGGCAATAAAAACAAGGAAAGTATTTTGTTCAATAGCCAAGYCCACCTTATTCCCATCGTATTGCTGAGTCCACTCCACCCCACATCAAAGTGAAAGAAAGGAGATATTGCTGTAAAGTGCAGAGACTCAAACACTGATTTAACACTGGAAGAGACCCATATAGCTATCATGGGAAATATATAAATGCAAAGCTTACGATAGTGCACACAGTTATATATATACATAAATGCAAAGCCTACAATAGTGCATTGTAACATGGTATGTGTTCAGATATAAATATAATAGAAATTGTTTTGAAAATACAAACGAGGAGAAACACACAGATTCTCAATATTCCAGAATTCTAGATTTTGGTCATTACATGTTTTTTTATGATTGAACCCATATCCAGCAAAATTAGATTTACTGTCCTTGCTTCTTATGAAATTACACAGAGGCTGCTGCTTTATTCCTCTCCAGGACAGTAAAAAGCAATAAAATTCTTGCAGATTTTGACAGCAGGCAATTCAATAAAAGGTTATGTATATTTTATAAGTACAATAAAGACAAGTCTATAGCTGGATCCTAAATGGGGTTTTGTTTGGTGGGTTTGTTTCTGCACGCATCAGTGTTGGAGTGTATTTTCAACACAGAATGGTCTTCTCAGCCCATGGCCTTCCCTTTTTCGGGAGAAGTAGAATGAATTTTATATTTTTATAATGTATTATTTAAGCTTTGCTCAAGGAATTTTGCAATGTGTGTCTGTTTAAAATTTAAAGGTGTTGTGGCACTGAATATTTTCCTGTTCTTGATTAGTGCTATAAAATTTTACTTTTTTTTGTTACATTGTAAAGTGTATCTGTCTTACCATTGTGGCATTCCCTTTTTTATGAGCAAACAATAAATATTTGATACATACATAATCATTTCCTAAACTTCCATCAATGCTCAGTGGTCTTTTAATTCTTCGATAATTTAATGGGAAGATCAATGGCTTGCTGTATTTCTGAGCAATAGTGCTACAATGCATTTTATGGCAGTGTCTGTCTGCTGAAATATAAAATTTTGTACAAATGTAAAACCAAAACTGACAACATACGAATGACTTACCCTACATAATTACAGATGTATCCATTTTTTCTTCTCACTTAAAGAAAAAAAAAAATTTAAAATATGATGAAGCTGATTAAAGAAAAAATATCCTCCCTCTCCGTCTCTGGGACAAGTTCTCCAGCACTGAAAATCAGCAAGAGGTTTATCTGAGCAGGGTCTGTGGTACTGAACCTCAAGCTTCCTGGAGAAGGAAACTTTTCTATGTATCTACAGAGAATCCACAAGTACCAGTTTGCCCTTCTGAGTAGTTTGGTAGTTAAAGTCTGCACCTGCAGCAATTCAACCCCTACTCCTCTTGTCTCCTGAATGTGCAATAAGGGCTGCCAGAGCACTTTTTGCAACACTTTGCACTGTTAACTGTGGGATCACATTGTTCTCCACACAGGCCAAAACATATGCTTCAGTTAGCTGTGTGCTGTTTCATCTCTCAAAACTTCCTTGCCCTACTGCTTATCATTCTTATGTCATGCTTTATTTGTTCACGTACTCTGAAAAAGCCTAGAGGAGACAACTGCATAATTGTGTTGTATTAAATAGTGTGTTTCTCTTTTCTCATTTTTGTATTAAAGTTTTTCTTAGGTTTGCTATTATTGGAGGAAGGATATGTACTTAATATATGAATGTGCAGTACCAGACTTGAAAATACAGACAAAAGACCAAATTCTGTTCAGATATAGCACTCACTAARGCGGAGATGGCTTGTGTATGAGCGAATTCCTTTAGCTGCCGTGGAGTACTGTCACACCTAGGCAGGGTTTTAGCGCTCCTGAGCCCAGCTCAGCGCGCGGAGCTCACACACCGCTGAGGGGACAGTGCTGAGGGGACACCCTGAGGGGACAGTGCTGAGGGGACAGCGCTGAGGGGACAGCGCTGAGGGGACAGAGCTGAGGGGACAG